TGGAAGATAATTCTTTGCACACCACTGTGAAATTTGCAATGCGTCCTCCTGAAGAAGTACGCAATCGGAGTGAGATTGTACACGTCGAAACAGTTTGATGTCATCCGCATACAAGAGCACTTTTGAATTTTTCGCACAGAGCGAAATGTCATTCACAAACATAAAAAATAATAGTGGACCCAGGTTGCTTCCTTGGGGTACTCCAGAAGGCGATGAAAAAAAAGTGAAAGCCGTTTACAAATCCCTGTAAAGCCGAATTGGAGCGCAGCTCTTGAGGAGGAGGAGTGAAGGGTACTGAGGGGAGGGTAGACCCCTCCTCCTCCCCTCATTCTTTAATATGCTCCGGGGGGGCGGTCACGTGACCTCGGGGGGGGGGGTGTCACGTGACTTCGGGGAGGGGGGTCACGTGACCTCGGGGGGTCACGTGACCTCAGAGGGGTCACGTGACCTCAGAGGGGTCACGTGACCTGGGGGTCACGTGGGGGTCACCTTGGGGTCACGTGACCTTGAGATGACCTTGGGAGGGGTCACGTGACCTTGGGGGTCACGTGACCTTGGGGAGGAGACCACGTGACCTCGGGGGTCACGTGACCTCAGAGGGGTCACGTGACTTGGGGGTCACGTGACCTTCAAAGGGTCACGTGGGGTCTTGGGGTCACGTGACCTTGAGATGACCTTGGGAGGGGTCACGTGACCTCGAGGGGTCACGTGACCTTGGGAGACGTGGGGTCACGTGACCTTGAGATGACCTTGGGAGGGGTCACGTGACCTGGAGGGGTCACGTGACCTTGGGGGTCACGTGACCTTGGGATGACCTTGGTTACGCCGACGGCGACGCCGACGGCGACGGTGACGGCGGCGACGACGCCGCTCAAGCCGGGAACGGGCCCCTAAGAGCTGCGCTCTAAAATAATCGGACATGGATCCTGACACACGAACATAATTTGTACGACATGTAAGATAACTTTTGAACCATTGGCAGTATGTCAAGCACAAACCATAGCTATCTAGTTTCGTCAGAAGTGTGCTGTGATTAACCTTGTCGAATGCCTTCGTCATATCAAAGTATATTACGTCGGCTTGCTCGCGGTTGCAAACCAATGGAACGGCATAATCTAAAAAAGAGCATAGATTGGTTTCAACCGACTTACCCTTCAGAAATCCATGTTGTTCTGGGTTCATTTTATGTCTAAAGTGCCTGTACAGACGTTTATGCATTATCATTTCAAAAACTTTGGAAAAACTGCACAACAATGAAACGGGACGATAGTTGTTTACAGTACTAGGGTCCCCTGCTTTATGAATCGGAACAACAACAGAGCGTTTCCAGATAGAAGGAAATATTCCTGAATGTATCGATAAATTAAATATGTGTAATAAGACAGGAGTTAGCAGTTCGGCACACCCTTTCACAATAAAACTTGGAATTCCATCTGAACCAGCAGACAGCTTCGATTTCATATTACGAATGCTTTCCCTGATTTCAGGTTCGTCAATTGGGATAAAAGACAGAAAATCAGATGTGCCATGGCACGTCGCGTTATTGTCAGGGACAGATGCTGATGAAAAACATGATTTAAAATGCTCAGCAAACATGTTGGCAATTTCAATTGAATCACACGTATAGCCAGAACTATTTCGCATGGGTGCCACGCTACTATTCTGCTTCTTTTTTGTCGGTACATATTTCCAAAAGTTTTGAGGCTTGGCGTTCATGTCAGACTCAAGCCCATGCAAATGTGCACTTTCGTCTTTTTTAAAAAGCCATTTTGCCAAAGCACGACACTCACTAAATTTTGCGTACCACTTGTCCAATCCCGACCTTTTAAAAAGACGGTGATAATGAAGCTTACGTCTCAAGCAACTTCTTAATTCCTTTGAGAACCACGCAGGGTACTTGTTTAGTCTCAAAACACGTTTAGGCACGAAGTCATTTATCGCGCTCGAGACCACTTCTGTAAGTGCCTCAGCAGCTGAATCAGCGCACTTGTTATTCAGGATAGGTTTCCAGTCATAGCACTGAAAGTACTTGTACATATTCAAGTAATCGCCACTGCTGTACAGTAAGTACTCATAGCTGCATAGGGCCTGTTCACGCAGCGGAAAACAAAATGACACAGCGAAAGGCGGATGGAAATGGTCAACACGTGTTAAGGGGTCAGTGATTGGCGAAATATAGTTGATTGGAGTAGAAACTAATACAAGGTCAAGCACATTTCCCGCTGAATTCTGGATGGTGTTACGTTGTTCAAACCCATTAAAATAAATAAAGTCAAACAGGCTCGAAGCTTTCAGGCTGGTGACATCGCTCGTAATCAAGTTACAATTGGCCAGCCAGTCAATTCCAGGTAGATTAAAATCCCCATATATATGCACACGAAACTTTGTCACGTCTAGCTTCCCTTCTAAATCCCTAAAATGACGTGCAAAAACGTCCGAGCTAAGGTGTGGCGGAAAGTAGTAGTTACCTATTAAAAAATTAAGCCCATCACGGCACGTCACCTCGATCCATACACATTCCGAGTACAATTCAAGATCGTACCTTCTCCTTGCACACAGAGAAGTGTCAACGGCCGTTAAAACACCTCCCCCATATCGCTGTCGCGTGGCGGCATAATCTCGGTCTTTCCGAAATACTGAATAACACGGAGGAAAATACTGAGAGCTGGGGATAGTGTCCTCGAGCCACGTTTCAGTAAGGGAGATGATAGTGTACGAATTACCTATAACTCCGGACAAGAACTCGGATGACTTCGTCCTAAGACCACGAACATTCTGGTAATAAAGCGTGCACTCCATGGTACCTGATTATGCGTTTACATCGACCGAGGTGTCCGTGTCCGAGAGTTCTTTAAGAAGGCCGAAAAAAGGGCGAAAAAGGCACCTTGCCGGCCAAATGTCAGGTGTGTTGATTTCGTCAAAGTCATCGTTCTCGATTAATACATGAAAAGAGGCGTAACTATCATGTTTAGTTGCAAGCTTGGTGCACTTCATCCACTTGCCTTTGAGAACACCAGCCAGGGATTCCATAATGTCCGATTCAGTCGTATGTGGATTCAACCGGGAAATGAAGAGCGCTCGACGTCTTGGTTGGCGCGGCACGCAGCTCAGCTTGCTGACGGTGTTCCTTCCTTCGGTAGGCTTGACCCTTTTCTTTCGCGTGAATGTCTGGAATCCTTCGGCGTCCACGTCATTCCTCTTTGGTTCAGGTTGAGTGGCCGTTGCCAAATTTGAGCGTTGTGGTAAACGAAAGGGTTTAGTTGATTGTCTGCCAATACCATCATCGTCGGTGTTTGTTGTAGACTTGCTCGGATTTTTCAAGGCAGCAGCGAAGTTACTTGATTGTCTAGCTGGCAAACCTTGCACTTCCAACGGTGTGCTCGCTTTGCGCAGCAGTTCCGTGTTTTCCGAAAGCCGCAGACGCAATGCCTCGTTGTCTGCTTTTAGCATTTTCACGTCTTTCGCTAGTGCATCGATTTTGTTGCAAAGCTGGGCAACAAGCATGTGAAGACTGACCTCGGTAACGGACGATTCATGGTTGGCGTGCGAACCAGTTTCTTCCATTGAAATGGACGAGTGGGCGTCACCAACCTTCGTTTCCTGAGAGTCCAGGCGCTTCACACACGTAGAGCACTTGTAGCTGCTGACACCGTTCACCATGAGCAGGTCGTAATCCCCTTCAACCACGTTGATGCATTTGCAGTGAAATCTGCGCCTGCAGGTCCCGGAGCAAACAATAAACTGCTGCCTTCCATAGAAGGGGGCGGAGCAGCTCCCGCACACGTCCTTACTGCCCGTCATTCCGAGCAGGAATGGCGGGCAGTTAAAGTTAAAGAAGAAGGTGAAGGAAGTGTCTGGAGTTGAAAAAAGAAGAAATATGTCTTTTTCTAACCTGGTGCTCTAAGAAGATTGTTAGACTAGAAAGACTAAAGCACAGTAGACCAAAACGAAATCAGTAAAAATTAAACAAAGGTAATGATTTTGAACTCTATACGATACTATTCTGAAGGCTTAGAAAAAAAACCCTGGACCGTGGGAGACAAAATGAGAATAAAAAAATAAAAATAAAATTGGATAAAAATGAATAGAAAATTAATAAGTGATCGTCCAAAGGCCGCCGATCAGTGCCTCGTACAGCTTATTTACCTTTTTACATCCAACAGGCACCACAGCCAAAGCTATACCGGCGCGAGCGCAAAGACCCACCCGGTGCACCACCTCACGCGATCACGTGCAAACGTGATTATGTGTGGTGGCTCAAGTACTGAACCTCTTTGTCCGTCAACGCCAAAGATGGTGCGGAGACGCATTTTTCTCCATTGGCTTGTATGGTCTGTGCTTCAGATATTTGTAGGTTGAGAATCCATGGCAAAAACGTTCTATACTTACTTCCACAAGTTCGGACCTGCGCGACAAGAAACTTGTTCAGCACAACCCTTTGTAGATACGACAATCGTGTGTGGAGAGCCACTCGCTCACCGAAGCACCAAACTAGCGGATCGGCCGAAACGCGCTGCTTTGGATCGACTGCGTGAGTGCGCGCGTAGCGGCGGAAGGGTCTACCGCGCTACTTGAACAGTTAGATAATGACATGCAGCAGCATAACTGGAAATAATAGGCAGTTTTATTAACATATTAAAACTGCCTATTATTAAAACATTGGATTTCGTAACTATCCTTTCTATAGAAATATAATTAAAACGGCGGTCGTCGCACAGAGCTTTGCACGAGTCAACGGAGAGGAGCCGAAGGGACCGGAGAACTTCAGACGAAGGTGGCGGTGGCGCCCTCTACTAGCATGCACAAGAAGCCCCCCATCAACCTACAGCGAGTTCTACGAGTCTCTAATGCAACTAGCATATACTCATGTAGGAAAACAAACCAGAGTCAAAAGTGATAAACGAACACCGTGGTTTGATAAGGAGGTTAAGGAGGAAATCAAAGTACGACAGGAATGGTCCAGAAAACATCGAAAGGCCATGAATAAAAAGCAATACAGCATGGCAAAGCAAAACTGGGAAAATTACGAGCTACAGAAAAATAAAGTAAAATCTCTAGTGGCGACAAAAATTCTGAAGATACTCACGAAACACGAACAAGCCCTACAAGAAAGCGACAACAAAAGCCGTTGCTTTTGGAGATATGTGCGATCTCTCCAACCACACGAGGATTTTGAACACAACACAATAGGGAGTGGAGAAGACCAATGGACCACTGAAGAAGAAATCACCGAGGGAATGACTAAATACTTTCAGGGACTTCAAGCCTCCCTCTACAACAGACCGAGGACACAGGAGGAAACATCCCTACGACCTCAGGAACAATTTGACCGCAGCATTCTTGAACCAATAGCGCCCGGTGAACTGCAGAGACATATTAATAAACTAGAAGCAGGAAAGGCAGTAGGTCCAGACGACATCCCCAACGAGTTCCTGAAAAAGCTTAAACCGGTAGCAGAGAAGCACCTAAGGTACCTTTTAAACAACATGCTGGCAAAAAGTGCTGTTCCTGAAGCCTGGAAACAAGCCAAAATAAAACTAATCTACAAAGGAAACGATAAAGACAAGAAATCATTAGACTCATACAGGCCGATAACAATACTAAGTAATGTTTACAAACTCTTTGCATCAATTCTGCAAGACAGACTGCAGAGACTCTGTGAGAAAGCCCGCCTTTTCAGCGAGGCACAGAATGGATTCCGTAGGAACCGGCGGGGCAGCGACAACTTATTCACTGTCACACAACTAATAGAGCTAAAAAATCTAGATAGGTCACCACTCTACCTGGCTTACCTTGCCTTGGAAAAGGCCTATGATGCAGTGCCCCATGAGAAGATGTGGACGAAGTTAGAAGCGATGGCACTGGATGTTCAGACAGTATCGCTCTTCAGAAACATGTACGCCGGATGCAACGCCAGATACAGTTTGGGAGAACATTTATCAGGGCAGGTGAACATGATTGTGGGTCTGCGCCAAGGCTGCCCCCTTTCTCCAACCCTGTTCAACATCTACATCAACAATCTCATTCTGGAGCTGCAAGCCAAAGGGCAGGGTGTTTCTTTCACAACCATTACCTCCAGTAATGATATGGAAACAACTTATATTCCAGTACTGGCCTTTGCTGATGATATACTCCTGTTATCAGAGAATGAAACTCACCTTCAAGACATGCTCGATATCTGCACTCGAATTGGGAATGAAGAGGGATTCAAATTCAGTAAGGAAAAATCAAAGTGGATGGGCTATAATGTTCACGAGCTTAACCACACGTTTAGAGTACAGGAGGTGGAAGTAGAACATACCAAGGAATACAGGTATCTGGGAGTGACTTTTCAAGAAGGCCCGCTGTACTTAGAACTACACGAGAGGAACACCCTAAAAACCTCCAACATCCGAAAAGGTCACATGTGGAACATGGCAAAGTATTCCTATAACCCATACACCCTTGCGAGGGCACTGTGGAAGAGTGTCGCAGTACCGGCGGTCACCTATGCTAACGACGCAGTGGTCTTCCAACAGACCACCCTGAAGACACTGGATCGCCATCAAGTGGAAATCGGGAGGTGGGCACTGGGCGGAAACGGGGCAACTGCAAACCTGGCCGTCACGGGAGAGATGGCCTGGTCGACTTTCAAGCAACGGGATGCAAGGGCCAAACTCGGATACCTCGGGCGCCTGATTCACATGCCAGACGAAGCGTACGCCAAAAGGACATTCCACTACGTTAGATACCACAGCAGCAGGACGAACTGGTCAAACACCATCGCCAGGCTCGACTCTGTGTACAGCAAAGGGACAAGGCGACATGAGGCCACATCGGAGAAAGGATGGCTCAAGGCTGTGACAGAGGAGGTGAACGCGATTGAACTTGAGGCCTGGAGACAAGCGGTGAGGAAAAAGCAGAGCCTCCAGAGCATCTACGCGCTCCACAAGCCTGAGCCGTCTCCCTGCACTTACCATCGAGGGGACCATGAAAGTGCGCTACTGTTCCAGGCACGGGTAGGAGCGCTGATGACAGGCTGCCGACGTGCCCAACTCTTCGGAGACACCGACACAGCCTGTCATCTGTGCGGGCAGTCAAGCGAGGACGTCCACCACGTGCTGCTGTGGTGCCCTGCCCTAGACCACTGTCGACCGCCCTGGGCGACCAGCGAAGAGAGGATTCCCGAAATGCTGGGATTCGGGGAAGGAGCCCACGGTTCACTAGCCACCAAGCGCATTCTCGTTGAATGGGAGAGACTACGTCTGATCGCCAACCAGTGAAAGTGTGCCAAAAGTGGGAAAAGCTAAAACAAAACAAGAACTAAAACTTTTACCTGTGTCGGCAATTTGAACTTTTGCTGACCCCCCTGTCTCAAAAGGGGTTAGGTACCGCCAACTAACTAACTAACTAACTAAGAGTATCCCCTCCAACCAGCTTGTGGACTCACTACTCCTCTCTAGTTCATTGTAGCAGAGGGAGAGAAATACTTGCGGTTCTCCTATGTTTACCTTGTGCTTGCGGGGGGGCGCGACGACTCTTTGTTCATTAGCGGACAGTTACGTGAGTGCTACGCTCCAGAAATGCCCCAGTGTCGGGCTTTTAAGTTGCCGATACGTACCGGCACGAACAACGGCCAGGCACGTTTTGTAGGGGATTGACGTCTGTCCACCGGTCCTGGCGGGAGACAGGGTCGTATTGGTCAATCCAGTCCTCGACGTCTTCGTACAGCTCGCCATGGAAGGGCGTCGGAGTTCGAGGTGCGACGGGCATGTAAACAACGGTGGGAGTCGCCGAGGTCTTCTGCGACAGGTTGGCCATCGTTGGCTTAGTTCGCTTCGGTTTTTTCGGTAGGATACGGAATTCCGGTGGTCCTCCCTAGTTGCAACGACTGGGTCGGGGTTTACGTTCTTCGCGGTCTACTTGCGGGCTCGCTCTTCTTGTGGGACTCGCTTGTCTAGTGGACTTTCCGCTGGGCCCGAGATTGGACTTGGTTCACGGCTCCTTGAGGTGTACGAGAAAAGGGCATAGGGTAAACTATCCAGCACCTCCATATAGAGCACACGATGAAAGCCGAGTATGGCCTGGAACTTCCCAAAATATGCATCTGCTACAATATAACAAAACTTACTGAAAAGTGTTTATCATGACCAATAAAGAAGCAGCATTGCTTGAGTGGCAAGTTGTGAAAATAAACACTCTCCTTCGGTGTTTCCACGACTGCGTGGACAAACCCAATGGAAACGGAAGTGTGACCACTTTTCTGGCATTAACTGCTATACCTATGCTTCGTAAACGTGCACGTCTACGCAAAACAATCTAAAAAGCAGCACAAGATCGTTTAGCATGGCACAGAAACTACCAGCTTCAAAGCAGCTCTTCCGTGCTCCGCACAGCCGAAGTGAGATTCAGGTCATTTTGACGAAGCAGCATGAGGACTGCACACTGCCAAGCACGACTTGCGTGATTTCCGTACAGTTAAACTTTGTATCCAAGTACATCGAACATGGTTCACTGCACACCTCGAAGATTTTGATGGTGAACGAGATCATAAGCGGTGTATAAATGACCCTTTACGTGCGGTAAAAGTTATGTAGTACAGACCGACCGGTGTGTTAACGACCGTCTCCAAGAGCACTACTATTCCCTTACATGCCTCTATGGGGGGACACCTTCCACTGCGCTGTCAGGCCTGCCGATGCAGGCCAAATTTTGAACAAATAACACTTTTAGGCAAATTTCCAAATCAAGCCATCATAGAAATCCTAGAAGCGTACCATATGATATAGCGCAATTAAGGGAGTGTTCTGTGTCAGCAAGCCATCAATAACGCTGTATGAAAAGTAAGTGCTCTTTCTAGCCAGTCTTTTTAACGACTAAGTGTTACCTGAACCTGCGATCTGTCCTGCATGTGTGCCCTCGTAGATTTTAGTTTTTTTTTATCTTTTAATATTTTTGTAAATATTCATGGTGTAAATGTATTATGCTTCGCCCTTCTATTCCCTTTTTAATGCATGAAAGTTGTCTTCTGCCACTCATAAATATCACTCGCGACCCAGCGTTCGTGTGTTCTTTATGTGTATTTCTTTCTTGTCCTGTCTTTTGTGCGCTGTTTTTTATCATGTCTCAAAATCTGAACGTGTCAAAAAATAATTCAAGCTCCCTGAAGTTGTAAATTTTAACGAAAGGTATGAGTGAAAAAGACTTAAGGTTTATATGCTGAATTTGAATAGAAAAGCTATAGCTTTGATCAAAAAAGTAATATTTGCCCGATGTAGAATATTTTTGAGGATAATTTTTATTGACTAATATAAACTGTGCATTAGTGTGTAGTGTCCGAATCATGCTTAAAAATCAAAGAATGAATTATAACCTTCGCACTTTCAATAAGTTTAATAGCATTTCACGCTCCGAAAGACAGTCCAAATTTTTGGTGACAAATTAGTAAAAAATTGCATTTATGAGTGAACGCATTACTGCATGCGAGGGTTTAAAATTCACCTTTGAAGTAGCACATATTTTCAGGCTACATGACAACATCCTCAATGTATTTCTGGGCGCGAAATTGTTTTTAGCCGCACCATATATTGACGCAACACGAAATTGTCTAACTCAACAATGTATCCACTTTATAAAACGTTACTTCTGCACAGCATTCACGGCGGTTGTGTTAGGTTATACAGCTCAAAGAATATTTGGTGTGACTGTAAGTAGTACTTTCCGCTCTGCCATTTTTAGTAACTGAATAATTTTATAAAATCGTCTTTGTTTTTTTTTGTTTTTTCTTTGAACGATGCTTCCCTTCCCCACTCCTCCAGTAAACAATCCACTAACGGGAACAAACAAAACAACAAAAACGAAGAAACAAAAAAAAAAGTTTAATGCCAGAATTCAGAGTAAAGTAGCCGTTGGCAGCTGGTTTGTGCGTTTGAATCTAGGTAATCGATTCTTGTGCAACTCGCATGCTGGATGCGAAGTCGTCAAGGTTTGTGTTAAATGTCTTTATTTTTTTTTAATGTGCAAACATAGCAGGAATGATGTGTTTTTGCTTCTTTTTATTTGCGATCAAATTTCGCAGTCTTCCAAATATGCTGTTTCGACTTCATTCAAGTTAACATAATTCGTGCTTTCTTACGTCTGATCGTGATACATAAAACCTGGGCAACAAATTGTTCAAAAGAAGCGCGCCCATAACCGAGACTGTAGGAGACCCAAGTTGAAGAAAAGAAAGTCGCAGAAAATGCGCTGCAGCAGGCATTCCATAGAATTCAAACGTGCGTTTTCTGACTCGCGCTCTTCGCCGGTTTTCTCAAATAGCAATTAAAAGGCATCTGTATGGGTACAAATATAAAATAGCGTTACGGTTCTTACACATAGTATTTTACTGCTTAAATTTGGTTTGAACCTACGCAAATAAAAGCGAACTTGCTTTATCACGCCAAGAACTATACTGCACAAGATCTAGCTTAGAAACAAAATGTATTTACTAGCCTGTTTTTTCTTGCTTTTACATGGCTCGATTGTGGACGAAAACGTCTCGGCTCAACCTACAGCAAAGGCGAGCCGTAAGTCAAAACCTTTTTAAGGAATTCAACAACTAGTACCTTATATAGCCACTAAGAGCCTGAGAACCGCAGGTAGTGGCGAGCCCAGAGCCCCTTATTGTCGCAACCAATGAAGCTACGGCATCATCAGATAAGCAGCCACGCATTGCGCTTCGAAAACTGTCCGCGACTATAACAGATATAACAAAAGAAAAACTAGTGGAATTTATTATAGGCACCTTTCAAGGTAAGTACGCGGTGTCCCAAGCGAACCTTCCGCCGTGAAACGAGCCGGAATATTTGGCGCCTTTAAATAGAAAGCTCAAACTTTTACCGAATGTGTACTGAGCAGGCCATTTTTACCGTGCGAAATTTCACGGAGCGGTTCTCTTCCTGTAAAAAAAGAATCTGAGCGAAAAACTTGCTAATCGGTCGCAGACATTGAGTTCCTCCTCGCCGCCCAATGGAAGGCGCGCGTTTTGCGCTACGCTGTGTTTGCTGCGCTCAACGTCGGAGAGTAACAGAGCCTTTAGAGGCGAAGCTTAAGCTCCCTCCCGTACTTTTTTTTTAAGGCATTAGAACTTTTGTTTTGACAAAAACCAGGCGTTGTCTTTCGTTTGTCGAGAAGGGGGCGGTGGGAGGGTGACACGTACGACGCTTCCATTTGTCCGAAGCACTAGCGTCAGCACGTGTGGACCTTTCCCCCTCCTTGTCCCTTTCTCCCCGCAGCTGACAAACTGACGGACACCACCGGGTTTTCGTCAAAACAAGCCCTTTGGTTTTTGTGAGTCACGTGCACAGCCGGCATGGAGCCACAGGGGAGAAGGCGACGCGCAACACCCACTAGATAACAAAGCCTTAGTGCTGAATGAGAGTGCGCCATCACAGAAGGCCAACGATGGACAGAGATGGGATACGAGTACCGCGTCAGGCTTTGAGTAAAGTTTGAACATTGAGCTGAAAGTTTACGTAATCGTCGTGTCCTATCTGAACCCAGCGTTGGCCTTATCTGATGACGGCCTTTCATTCAGCACTACAGCTCTGTAATCCAGGAGGTGTTGCCCCACGGGGCCGTGGAATGCGGGCGTAATGGCGTCACTAGAGTCCGCGGTACCCAAAGCAACAAACCACCGCGACGCGACCCCCCCCCCCCCCCCCTCTTTCCCTCCTTGATTTGCGACGCCACCGTGCACGCGTGCACAGTTGCCGCCCTCTGCCGTCGCCGCTTATTCTTCGCTTTGGGTTTTTTGTAAACGCAGTGCGTGGGCTGCGATGTGTGTGTGTACTTAAAACGATGGATGCGGTTCCCTTCATGAGTGATATGGATAAGGATGGGTTTCCACGAGAGATTTTGGTGACCATATCAAAGCGCATTGACGCACTTTAACAAGCAGAGAGTACAGAAGAGTGCAAAAAAATACAGGAATATCCATTGGTCGATTCTTAGCGAATCCGTTGGCACGACACTTGAGAAACACCACACACGTCCCCTTTTGGGAAACGCTAACACTGACCCCGTAACGAGGCCGAAAAAGGGCAGCAAAAAAAAAATAGTGGGAGCAAAAGAAAAAGTCAAATAGGAAAAAGTGCAGTGGATAGCGTTAGCGTTTCCCAAAGTGGGACGTGTGTGACGCCTCAAATGGTCATGCTAACGCATCCCTTAAGAATCCACCAATGAATCTTCCTGTAATTTTTATTTACCTATCAAGCAATAAAAAGGCAAATAAAAATCAGTTAATAGCTGAAAACATCTTGCATGCTCGCAAACGGAAAATAAATTTGGCCTGCATAAGGACCGATTCTATTTTAGAACGCAGCTTTTAGGCGTCCGTTTCCTTGTTGAACGGCGTTGGCGTCGGCGT